CTGGATAAAATGGATCTTGAAATTTTTCCCCTAATTTTTTTTTTTTTTTCTCTCTCTCTCTACGAGCCTTCAATTCGCTAGAGGAGAATGAGGTAACGTGCTCCTACATACGTCGCTCGTTCTCTCCCGCGCATTGTGTTTGTAGTTCGTATAAAGCAGTTTGTAAACGAGCGATAGGCACTTGGATAACGCGTCCGATCAATGAGTATAAAAGGCATTCGGACGCTGTGTTTACCCGATGAAACGGCCGTGTTGTGTGCCACCGGCGGCAGAGCCAGCCGTTATGGCTGAATTATCGACGAGCTCGTAATAGCGCCTCATTTAAATCCGCCTTGTTCGCGGCGGCCCATCTGGAAAATTGCATTTTCGATTTTTTTCCGCCGACTTCTTCCATTTTCTCCCTTCCCCTCCTCTTTTTCGACTTGTGGATTTTTATCGATTTTTTTTTTTTTCGAACGATAGGAAGAAGGAAATTTTGTTGAATAATAATTACGTCGCGAAATAATTAGAAATCGAATGATTAAAATTTATTAATCAATTTATTAAAAATTGATTTTTTTTATCTTGCGCTCGGATAAATGGATCGTTAAAATAATTCGAATAGATGTATAACGAAAGTTATTTTATTTATTAAATGACGAACAGAGGATCGGTATCATCCTTTTTATCGCGAATTTTTTAAAAACGAGTCACGAGACGAGAATGATTGTAGATTTGGATAAAAGGTTTGAAACTTTTATAGTCTATTATAAGTATTTGCAAAAGTGATCTAGTGGAGTAAACCTATATTTTAAACAATAAAATTAGGAAAAGGAATTACAAAAATATCACAAGAATAAAATTAAGAGCCGATGTAAATACATACATAAAATTATACACTTAAATTCCTCAAAAATAGAAATAAAAATTCTCGAAAAATTTCTAAAAACTTTCACAATCCAACTCCGTCTTTCCATTCCTTTTTTCTTCGATCAAAAATACAAAATATTCTCAAAAATAATAAACGGTGTTAGTGCATTTCCGATTTTCGCGTTTCAATTATTTTACAGAGTCAAAAAACAAGCAGTCGTTCGCCTGAAACAATGTTCCCGTGGCTTCCACGTTCGCCATTTCGGTTGTTCCTTCAGCGATCCGATTGTTTCGTCGAGAATTAATTACTACTTGTCGTCGGGGGTGGTAGTTGTGGCTTGGTGTAAACAAAGCGTGAAATCCTGCCATCCCGGAAACGGAGGCTGGCTCGAACGAGAAAACGACGCGAAGTCCGCGATTCCAGCCCCTGAAACAAAGGCAACCAGCCTCGCGGTAACAATGGCCGCCAATGTCGAGACGGTTGTCGTCTTTCCGCGTCGATCTTCCACGTTATGTGCACGAAGATACGAAACGATTTGCTGGTGGTTCTTGGTTGTATACAATACAGCCTTGATTCGTTAGAGATTAATTGCATACGCATGTAATACAAAGGGTGAAATTAATCTCGAACCAAGAGAGTCCAATAATAAGTGTCTAAATGAAGATCGATGGAGAGAATATTAGATGAAAGTGAAGGAACGTTTGATTCGACGTTTAGATCGCTTAATGGTGTTTCTCGAATCGATTATGGTTCTCCTTTGATGGAGTAATTGCACAGTTGATAAGTTAATATTTATTATGCTCGCAAAACATTAGCATCAAGAATAGAGCCGATAGGTAAGTGTATCGTTTTGCTTTGTTCCCAAAATTCCTGCGATTTATTATCATATTGTTGTATAGCAGTGGAAAATCTTTCTAAAAATCGGACTCGGATTGTTTTTCAAACAAAAGGCGTAATAAACGACGACGAAAGGCAAACAAACGGGGACAAGAACGGCAGAAATCCGAAAAGAAGAATAAGGATAAGAAACGAGGCCAAGGAGAGGAGGCTCGCAATTTCGACAGCAATATCAAGAACGAGCACGTTCCGGCCGGGCATACAACGAATCGCTCAAGGGGGATGAAAGTTCTCGATACAGAGTGGAGATACAGTGGCGGAAATTCGAGGCGCACCGGAGCAGATATATACCGGGGAGAGGATGGGATTCACGTTGCCCGATGGATCTTTTACTCTCCTCGTTATTGTTGCTGACAGCAGGCAACGACAATGGAAAGAGTTGCTCGGTGTATAGCGGAGCACACGGACGAAGAAAGACAGAGGCAGAGGGAAAGAAGGAACGAGAGAGAGAGAGAGAGAGAGAGCGGGCTAAACAATACGGACACGTGGTGGTTCACAATGAAGTTCGAGGAACGGTTGCACGGAGAGGAGAACGGAACAAGAGAATACGAGATTTTTGTCTTCCGGCACAATGTGCAGCGCTGATAACGCATTCGAGCCGAGCCGACTGGTGTCGAGCCATTCTTAATCCTTGTTCCACGTCCCAGTCTTGAATACGTTTCGGAGGGTGGAAATATAGTGTTTCGAAATAATAGTTCAATGGAGCGCTGTTTGGATCTGTTTCGAGCTTATTGGGATATTGCCTGTTGGCGAAGAAGGGTGGCGAGATTTCGATTTAACTGGAAAGTGGTTGGTTTCGTATTCGAACAGGTTATTGTTACTCTCCTACAGAGATATTTGACGCCGTGTTTCGCGACTCGTTTCAAATTTCTTTCCCCTTAAAATATACCTATTCCTTCCTTTCTTCTTCTTTTTCATGTTTACTTTGAAGATAGAATATTTCACTATTAATTAATTATGCATACGATAAAAGAAAAATTGGAAAAAATAGATCTTCATCCGCTTCCTTTTCCACCGAACCTCCACGCTTTCAGATTCAAAACGAGAAAACAAATTCCTTCGCATTATTCGATCGATGCATCCATCCCCTGATGCACCTCTTCGCCAAAGGATGGTTTCTTCCTGGTATACGCTATTTACATTATAGCCTATTCCAATCGATACACGTTTCCTCGGTCTGAAAGGCAGGTGGCACGGATGAACAAGGAGCGAGGTGGAACAGAGGGTGGCGAACGGACTCGGCTCGGGGGTGGGTCGGTGGCGTATTTGTTTAGAACAAAGGGTGCCCGCCACCGTCGGTATTAGTAGGTAGGTATTCTCGGCCACCACTCTCTCTCCTTCCTCCTCTTTCCGCGCTTTCGGCCACGTCGTCGTCGTCCTCCTCCTCCTCCTCCTCCTCCTCCTCCTCTTCGTCGTCGTAGTCGTCGCCGGCATCGTCGTCGACGACGACGACGATGAGGACCGGGCTTAAAGCACAATGGCGCCCGCCTTTCAGTCCTTTCGCTGGCGAACAATGCCGTTTATTTAACATCGTTTAAAAGTACAAAGCCTGTTAATTAATGGACGGGGTCGAAGAAGNGAGAGGAGAGGGAGGAGAGAGAGAGAGGGAGAGAAAGAGAGAACGGTGGCGGAAGCCAAGGGAAGAGGAACTCGGAGGAGAGGACAGGCATGGCGACGGGGAGCCATTGCTTGCGCGGCTTTTACCACACCAACGACGCGCTATTGCCCCGGCATTACTATTTCTGAAGGCAGCTGCTATTAGTCCACCAGAGAGCTGCTACCAAGCCACTGCGCCTTTGCTTTCTTCTCTTCTCCTTCCTCCTTCTTCGTCCTCCCCCTCCCCTCCTTTTTTCCCTCTTTCTCTCTTTTTTTTTTTATTCTTTCTTTTGCTCGTCTTCATTGTCGCGGCCGAAACTAGGCTACTACCGTCGCTACTACCAGTAGACTGTTCTCTCTCTTTCTCTTTCTCTCCCTCCCTTTCTCTCTCCTCTCCATTTTCACGTTTGAAGGTTTCTTTCTTCTGTACGTTATTTTCCTGTTTTTCTTTTTCTTTTTGTCTTTTTTTTTAATTTCATTCTTTCTTCTCGTTTTCCTCTCCTCCCTTATTCTTTCTTTCTCGCGTCTTTGTTCTTCTTTGTTTCTCGTTAAGCGTGCTTCGTTGCGGAGCGGACAGAGGGCGCAGTGTGCGCG